GCTTCAGGCCGCGCCATGGTACAGAAACGGCATTGGTCGCCCTGTGTGATGACCTATTGAGGGAGGCCGACAGGGGCAAATTGTCTCTGCTGGTCCTCCTAGATATCTCAGCGGCCTTTGATACCATTGACCACGGTATCCTCCTGGGGAGGCTCTCTGAGTTGGGAATAGGAGGCCGGGCTCTGGCATGCCTCCGTTCCTTCTTGGAGGACCTCCCCCAGAGAGTACAGCTTGGGGAGACCGTCTCGGCCCCGTGGAGCCTCAATTGTGGGGTTCCACAGGGGTCGATCATCTCCCCAATGCTGTTTAATATCTATATGAGGCCGCTGGGTGTGGTCAACAGGGGGTGTGGAGCATTGTGCCATCAGTATGCGGATGACACGCAGCTCTACATCTCCTTTTCACCAACTGCAGGAGATGCCGTCCTGTCCCTTCAGCGCTGCCTGGAGACCGTACTGGAATGGATGCAGGAGAACGGGCTGAGGCTGAACCCGGACAAGACGGAGGTACTAAGGGTGGGTGCCCCCACAATAGGGGATTTGGGAAACTCTCTCACTTTTGGGGGGGTGACCCTGCCCACCAGCGATGGGGTCCGCAGCTTGGGGATCCATCTAGACCCGGGGCTCACTATGGAATCTCAGGTGGCGTCTGTGGTACGCACCGCCTTTTTTCATCTTAGGCGGATAGCCCAGCTGCAATCCTACCTTGATGTTGGGGCGCTCACTACCTTGGTGCATGCGCTCGTAATCTCAAGATTAGACCACTGTAATGCCCTCTACGTGGGGCTACCTTTGAGGCTGCTGCGGAAACTACAGGTGGTGCAGAATGCGGCAGCCAGATTACTCAGTGGAGTGAGAAGATACCAACATAATTCACCCACTGCATTGGCTGCCCATCCGTTTCCGCATCGACTTCAAAGTGTTGATGCTTGCGTATAAAGCCCTAAACAGTTTAGGACCTCGATACTTGGCGGAATGCCTCCTCCCACGAAGATCTACCCGTGTCACTCGTGCGAGCCAGGAGGTGAGACTGAGGAGCCTAACGCCGAGGGAGGCCCGGAAGGAAAAGACTAGAAATCGAGCCTTCTCGGCGGTGGCTCCTCGTCTCTGGAACAACCTACCCCCTGAGATTCGCGCGGCTCCCTCGCTGGGTATTTTTAAGAAACAATTAAAAACATGGATGTTTAGGCAGGCCTTCCCAACAGATAACTCCTGACGATTTTTCCCTCCCCTATAGCTTTCCTATTTTGTTTAATAATTTTTTTCTTTCTTTTTTGTTAAGTAATATGGTTATATGTATTTTATTGTATTATTCTTATGTTGTTAGCCACCTAGAGTGGTCCTCACATGACCAGATAGGTGGGATATAAATAAAATAAAATTTAAAAAAAAAACACCTTTCTTACCCCTCAGACCGTCTGGGGAAGGCGGGGCAAATCCTGCACATCTGCAAACGATGGTGTGGCACTTGTCTGGGGGCATTTGCACATGCGGAAACGGCGGCATGGCGATCACTCGGGCACACTGGAGAATGTGTGCAGGTACAAACAGGCTGGGGGTGAGTGTGTGGGATGGGAGGTCTGTCTCGGTGGCCGGGTAGAGTTCAGGCCATGGACCGGCACCGGGACGCAGACCTGGGGTTGGGGACCTCTGTCCTAGAGGAATCCTGGATTTAGTGAAGGAAAAATGGGAGACAGGCAAGGATGAGTCTCCAATTTTGGTAAAGCAAGTGACAGAAATATGAGAGAACATTTAAACAAGGTAGCTGAGACCGCTAAAAGCCAATTATCGAAAACACAACAAGGACAGAAACAAAGATGTGATAGGCAGATGCAACTAAGGAATGTTGAACTGAAACAGAACGTATTGTTATTATTACCATCGGAATAGGCCAAGTTATTTGCAAAATGGCAAGGACCCTACGAGGTTATGAGAAAAATTGGAACAGTAGATTATGAAATTGCTACTCCTGATAAGTGAAAGAAGTCAGGCATATATCATCTAAATTTGCTGAAAGAATGGAAAGGGAGAGATAGCTCCTTTGGAGAAAATGAAGATGAGAATCTAGGGCCTGGAGTTGACGAGTGTAAAGTGCCAAAAAGTAAATTGCAATTAGACAACGTAGAAAAAGAAAAAAATACAACAATTCAGGAATTTAGAAGAGGAATTTTTCATGTCTTTTCAAATAAACCAGGATTATCTTATTTAGGGGAACATCAAATTAACACCTTACCTCAAGCCACAGTTAGAGTAGGAGGAAGGAGCTGGCCTTATCACCTTAAAGAAGCTATCAATAAAGAAGTAACAGAAATGTTAACTTTGGGAGTAATAGAACCATCTTTCAGTCCATGGAGGAGTTATCCGGTCATGGTCCCCAAATTAGATGCTAGAAGTCTGGAGATCAGTGGATGTATTCCTGACATCGGAGGAAGGTGAAAAACCAAAGGAGACTGAAAAGGTAGTGGTCATAGAAGATGAATGGTATGAGGAAGAAAGTAGTCCTAGAGAGTTAAAGAGATAGAAGGGGAGAGAGAAATGAGAGGTGCGCGTGAAAGAGAGGGAGCAACTGCCAAACCAAGCATTGAAGGATTGTCACCAGAGGAATGGACTGTCCTAGTCTACCCGAGACAACGTGGTCCAGTGAAGTCTGTGAACCGTTGCGGGAGTCTTCAGAGAGGAGAAAAACCTCCTGAAGGGGATTGGACTCAACACCCGTGCTGTGGGATTATTTGTGCAGTATGGAGTGGATGGCTGAGGAAGCCCACGGATCAAGAACGGTTCGGGAAAACTCACTGTTACGAGCTGGATGTGTTTTAAGTCCATTACCTATGTTATGGGACAGATCAAATATGAAACCAAGTTACAATGATCCTATTCAAGTTATTGTTGACAAAAATCCAGTTGTTAATATAACTTTATTGAATGAATCTCCTCTCGTGTCTTTTCCCTCACAAAACACAGAACTGTCCAAGGAAATTGTAGAAGCCGATCACAGTGAGTGTGTGTGAGAGAGAAGCGGAGGCCAATATGGTAGAGGTGAAGAGAGTAAGGTATTGATAGAAATGGTGGGAAAGTTTCTGGATGGAGAACCAATGGATTCATCTGTGGGAGAGGTTGGAGATACCAAGAGAAGAGGTGAGGTCAAAAAGTGAAAGAATCATCACTCAATCCGGGGAGTGACGACTGCATCCAGGCAGGGGCCCAGCTGCGCAATCTGTCCAAGATGGAAGTAGGCGGATCGGACCACAGACGCCATCTGGTTGTCCATGGACAGCACCGGGTCCAGAAGAACGCCCAGCGTGCGTTAGGAAACAAATCACAGACATCAGGGGCAGCCACTTGGAGGACCCCATTCTTGTTTGGTTTCAGCCTTAGTCCATTGTCCCTTTTATCCTCCCATTGAATGAGAAGGTGGGAACAGAAAGGACGTTACCTGTTAATCAATTATCATCAGTCTGAAGCACAGGTGGAGGGTGAAAGCAAAATCCTCCAAGTCTGGCTTGTCTGTCAAGGGGGAAGAAGAAGGCAGGCTTGAAGGGGAACCCCCCCACACACACACATACACACCAAGTCAGGACAATGAAGGTTTGCCTCTTACCAACAGGACCTGCCCTTGGTGAGCACGGGGTTGGGGTGAGCAGGACTGAGACTAAAACAACGCAAATGCAAAGAAAACCATACTCCCAAACACCCACCACTTTGCACATGCTCAGAGGAGAAGTGTGGTATCATGGATGGAGTACCAGACTGGAAACGAGGAGAGCTAAGATTTTTTTTTAAAATTACACCTAAATATGATCCAAAAAAAACCATACCCCCAAACACCAACACTTTGCACATGCTCAGAGTAGAAGTGTGGTGTCGTGGATGGAGTACCAGACTGGAAACGAGGAGAGCCGGCTTCAAATCCCTGCTGGGCCAGGGAAACTGAGAGGAGGGAGAGTGGGGGAGGGGGGGCAAAGGAACTTAACCGACCTCTTAAAATCTCACTGACCTTGCAAATGTTGGAGGGATCTGGGATTCCGTTCTTTGTCTTTGGTCCCCTCCCAAAATAAGCAAAGAGAATTCAGTTTAGTTTAGCTCCTTCCTAGGAAAAAAGAGAAATAGAAACGATAAGCCGGGAGGATTTATGGATAAAGCAAATCAAAAACGTTTCCTTCTGAGACGTGCCTTCCTCATGTTTCTGTTGAACGGGGCTTCTTCTTCAGGCAGCAGAACAAGAGGAACAGGAAGGAAGGAAGGAAGGAAGGAAGGAAGGAAGGAAGGAAGGATGGGAGGATGGGAGGGAGGGAGGGAGGAAGGCAGGAAGGACGGAAGGAAGGAAGGAAGGAAGGAAGGAGAGAGAGAAGGGGGGGTGGACTGTCCCTCCATGGGATCTTTCTGGAATGGAGGCAGGATGGGACATTAATCGGCCCAGGAACAGAGTCTCCTGTTGGATGTTGTCCTTCTTCCCGCAGGGCCAAAAAATCTCTTCTGGTGCTTGGGTCCTGAAGGCACAATTCAGGTCCATCGACTGTGCAAAAGACCTGCCCCCATGCCCCCTTCTTCTGCCTAGGGATTCACTCTCCGGCCTCCCCTTCTTGCCGCCTTCTTCTGCCTAGGGATTCACTCTCCAGCCTCCCCTTCGTGGTTCTCCATGGGATGGAGCAAAAAAAAGAGGGGCTTTGGAAAGAGGCTGGAAGAGGCTCTGGTGGTCCTTCCACGCGGACGGCAGGAGGAAAGAAGGACCGGAAAAGGCCACCCGGCCCCTCTGGATCTGGAGCGTTTCTCTCTCCGGGCAGGTCTTTTGCAGAGTGAATGGCTCTGGAGGGTCCCTTCCAGACCGAGCGGTCACGGAAATGCTTTCTTTTACAGCAGGGGTAGACCACACCAAGACACCCCCCCCATCCCTACCCTTAATGGATGCCTTTCCCCCCCCCTCTCTCTCTGTGTGTGTGTGTGTTTGGTATGTAGAGAGGAGGGCTAACCCAATCCTTCTCAAGACCAGATCCTGAGCAGATGATCAAGGGCAGGCGGATGGGGACGAAGACTCTC